TGGTGGGCGGGTTTGCAGCCGGAGGCGGAGGGCTTGGTGGAGGGATTGAAGTTTGGTGACGACGAGACGACGGAGGACCTGTTCGGCCGCCTGCTGGCTGCGGCGCGGGAGGAGAACGCCGTGACGTCCGTGCAGAGGGACCGCGTGGCGGCGGACTGCGTGCGCGTCGAGTTCCTTGTCGATTGGATGCGACCCCGTGTGCAGGGCCAGTTCGCCGGCGCGGAGGGCGGCGTCTCTCGCGAGTCGGTCTTGGACGAGGTGATGCTGGAGCTGGCCATGGCGGGGGCGTTCGTGGCAGCTGCGCGCGATAGTGACACGGGGTGCGTCGAGGAGAACTTGCCGGAGTTTGACGAGGACGAGGCAGTCGCGCGGACGGGTGAGCGCTTGATTTACGGCTGGCCCGGACAGAGCGAGCCCGAGCCCGAGCCCGAGCCCGAGCCCGAGCCCGAGCCCAGCCCGAGCCCGAGCCTGAGCCCGAGCCCGAGCGCAAGCCCGAGTCCGAGCCCGAGACCAAGCCCGAGCCCGAGCCCGAGCCCGAGCCCGAGCCTGGGCGCAGCCCAAGCCCGAGCCCAAGTCCGAGCCCGAGCCCGAGTCCGAGCCCGAGCCGGAGCCGGAGCCCGAGCCCGAGCCCGAGCCCGAACTTAAGCCCAACCCCAAGCCGGAGCCCGAGACTGAGACCGAGCACGAGCCCGTGCCCGGGCCCGAGCCCGAGCCGAGCTCGAGCCCGAACCCGAGCCCAAGCCCGAGCCCGCGCCCGAGCCCGAGCCCGAGCCGAGCCCGAGCCCAGCCCAAGCCCGAGCCCGAGCCCGAGCCCGAGCCCGAGCCCGAGCCCGCCCGAGCCCGAGCCCAAGCCCGACCTGAGCCCGAACCCGCGCCCGCCCGCGCCCGAGGCCCGAGCGCGAACCCAACCCCGAGCCCGAGCCCGAGCACGAGCCCGAGCCCCAGCCCGAGCCCGAGCTCCAGCCCAGCCCGAGCCCATGCGTGAACGCGGGCTCGAGAAGCCCGAGCCCGAGCCCGAGCCAGCCCGAGCTGAAGCCCTAGCCTGCGCCCCAGCCTGAGCCTGCGCCTAAGCCCGAGACCGAGCCCGAGCGCGGGCCCGAGCCCGAGCCCGAGCCCGAGCCGTCGGACCAGGCCGAGCTCGAGCCCGAGCCCGAGCACGCGCCAGCGCCAGCGCTCGATCCTGAACCCGCGCCGGAGGCCGAGCGCGAGCCCCCGAGCCCAAGGCCCAGGCCGAGCCCGAGCCGGAGTCCCAGCCCGCCCGCGCCCGAGCATGCGCGCGGCCCCGCAGCCGCGCCAGCGCGCGTCGAGCCCGTACCCGCGTCCGCGCGCCCGCGCCCGCGCCAGCGCCCGAGCCTCGCCCACGCCCACGCGCGCGCCCGCGCCTGCGCCCGCGCTCGCGCTGGTTTGGTTCCTCCAAGTGTTTTGACAGTAATATTGCAGCTACGGACCTGAGAATTTCACTGGCGGACGCGGCATAACCCACTACATGTGCGAACATAGTTTTGCGGACCTAGCTCGAGTAGCAGACTCTGTTCAGAGCTCTAGATGCTTCAGCCGAGCGCCCTTCATAATTCTGAATCGGTTTCTGTGCGTACCAGCTCGCTAGCTCACCTACAGCTCGAGGTAAGTACAGAATACCCACAGCGCCTGTAAAGAGAACTTGAGAAATACGAATACTGTCGTGGACCTAGCTCGAGTAGCAGACCGAGTTCAGGCCTCTTGATGCAACAGACAAGCGCGCCTGGTGATACTGAATCGGTTTATGTGCGTACCAGCTCTGTAGCTCCTCTGAATCTTGAGTTGAGTACAGAAAACCGACATCACTGGTCAAAATGACTCGAAGAATACAACAAGTTTTACGGACCTAGCTCGAGTAGCAGACCGAGTTCAGACCTGGATGCAACAGACGAACGCGCCTGATGATTCTGAATCGGTTTCTGTAAGTATCAGCTCTGTAGCTCTCCGAAATCTCGAGTTAAGTACAGAAAACCGCGAACGCGTGTCAAGATGACTCGGAACACAATCGGTTCCTCCAAGTGTTTTGATAGTAATACTGCACCTACGGACTTAAGAATTTGACTGGCAGACGCGGCATAACCCACTACAGGTGCGAAAAATCTGGTTTCTCAAAATGAATTGTCAAATATCTTTCAAATCTTCGGAAAAAAACGACCAAAGTTGTCACATTGTCTCTTCTCGTCGGGTCGACCAACTAGCTCCAGCCCGCGCCGGAATTCCTTTAGCTCAACGATGCCGAAGAGTTCTACGAGGTACTAGCTCCACCCCGCGCTGGAATTCCTCTAGCTCATCGATGCCGAAGAGCTCTACGAGGTATTACTCTTAAGCTTCCAGCAACTAGCTAAGGGACGCTCTACGAGATACTAGCTCCACCCCGCGCCGGAATTCCTGTAGCTCATCGTTGCCGAAGAGCTCTACGAGGTATTACTCTTAAGCTTCCAGCAACTAGCTGAGGGAAGCTCTACAAGTTACTAGCTCCACCCCGCCCCGGGATTCCTCCAGTTCATCGATGCCGAAGAGCTCTACGAGGTAAGAGACTCTCGGGGGCGGGAAATCTTTCCTGGAGAGCTCTGGGGGGCTCCCCTGAAGCGCTTCGAAAGCGCTGCCAGGCACGCCTCCATGCGTACCTGCACGCGTGCAGGCACGCGTGGACGCGTGCCGGAAGCGCTCCCGGACCCGCTGCCGGAACGGGCGAGCTGCTGCGAGGATCGTGGAGCGGCGGAGATGGGCTGCTGGCGGGCACCACCACCGTCCAGCTTCTAATGTAAAACCCTCTAGCTCTCAGAGAGCTCTCCGGGAACTTTCCTGGGGAGCTCTGAATACGCAGGAAAGCGTTCCTGAAAAGCTCTGGGTAGCTCCCTGAAGCGCATCCAAAGCGCTCCCCAGGCGCTGCCAGCGACGCCCCCACGCGTGCCTGCACGCGTGCAGGCGCGCGTGGACGTGTGCCCGAAACGCTCCCGGACCCGCTGCGTTCTCTGGCGAGCCGCTAAGGGATCGTGGAGCGGTGAGCACGGGAGTGCAGCGACGCACGCGCACCCGCCGGCTTTTCTTCTGACAACCCTATCTAGCCCAAGAGGCTATCCGGGAACTGGCTCCACCTGCGCCAAAGTCCTCTTGGCTCATCTTGCCGAAGAGCTCTCCGAGGTACAGTGGTGGTGCTCGCCAGCAGCTCCTCCACGGCGCTCCAGAGTCGCCGCAGCGACTCGCTGGTCCTGGCAGCCCGTCCGGGAGCGCTTCTGGCAGCGCTTCAGAAGCGCTTCAGAAGAGCCCTCTCTTCGCTTTCCCGGTTTTTCCCGGAGAGCTCTCTGAGGGCTATAGGGTTATAGCTTAGAAGCCGGATGGTGATGGCACCCGCCAGCAGCTCCTCCACAGCGCTCCAGAGTCGCAGCAGCGACTCGTTGGTCCCGGCAGCCCGTCCGGGGGCGCTTCTGGCACGCGTCCACGCGTGCCTGCACGCGTGCGGGCACGCTTTGAAGCGTACCTGGCAGCGCTTCAGAAGCGCTTCGGAAGAGCTCTCTCTTCGCTCCCCAGGTTTCGGACCTTTCCCGGATAGCCTCTTGGGCTAGATAGGGTTGTCAGAAGAGAAGCCGGCGGGTGCGCGTGCGTCGCCGCGCTCCCGCGCTTACCGCTCCACGATCCCTTCTGTGACTTCCCGTGGCCAGCAGCGTGTCCCGGAGCGCCTGTTCCAATGCCCGGATAGCCTCTTGGGCTAGATGGGGTTGTCAGAAAAGAAGCCGGCGGGTGCGCGTGCGTCGCCGCACTCCCGCGCTCACCGCTTCGCGATCCCTTCTGTGACTTCCCGTGGCCTGCAGCGTGTCCCGGAGCGCCTGTTCCAATGCGTTGCCGTAGAACATGCTCCAGAGGCCTCGCGAAGCACCCCAGACAGCGTGCCCCCACGCGAGCAGGCGCGCGTGATAGCGTCGCTGTCAGCGTTTCAGAAGCGCGGCAGGGGCGCATCCCAGCAACCGTCGAGCTCCGCTCCCAGACCCCCTCGAGTCATGAAAATATCACGACGGAAGGTTTTTCTATATTCCCGCCTCTGGGGGCCCTTGCCGGCCCTCGGGACCGTCAAAAAACAGCTCAGGATGAAAAACCGGTCCCGGCGAATAGGTCCGGACCTCTGGGGGTCGCGTCATGAAAAAATCATGACGTCGGGGGTCTGGGTATTGGACAACAACAAGTACGTTCCCGTAGAACGTGCTCCAGAGGCCTCGCGAAGCCCCCCCCGACAGCGTGCCCCAACGCGTGCAGGCACGCGTGACAGCGTCGCTGTCAGCGTTCCACAAGCGCTTCAGGGGCGCTTCCCAGCGATTGTCGAGCTCCGCTTTGGACAACAACAGGTACGTTCCCGTGGAACGTGCTCCAGAGGGCTCACGAAGCACCCCAGACAGCGTGCCCACACGCGTGCAGGCACGTGTGATAGCGTCGCTGTCGGCGTTTCAGAAGCGCTTCAGGAGCGCGTCCCAGCGACCGTCGAGCTCCGCTTCGCGCACTTCCAGTTCCCGGAGAGCTCTGTGAGAGCTATAGGGTTTCAGATTAGAAGCCGGACGGTGCCAGCAGCCCGTCGACCTAGTATTCAGAACAATTCACTCCAATACCCACCCTGGATCAGGCAAGGTGGGTGGATTCCCGTGCCGCGTGGCTGGCAGAAACACCAGCGAGAAGACTTTGTTAGTGCTGCATGTAGATTTAGAGGGCTGTGGGCCCAGACAAAGTAGACTTGTGAATCGGAGTCACATTCAAAGTCCAACAATTCGTTTTCACTAAAACTTGCTCATGTTCGGAGACATTCGCACTCATCCGCAGTCGTTCGCGCTCAGTCGCACTCAGACAACGACGACGACGACGACGGCGACGACGACGACGATGGCGACGACGACGACGATTGCCTTGGCGCTTCCGTGGCCCGAGGCTGCGCCGTCGCTCGGCCCGCGGGGCCCGCCGTGGCCGCCGCGTGCTGGCCCCCCCCCCCCCTGCTCGCCATGGGGCCGCCCGCCTGGCCGCTCCTGTGCGCGGCGCTGCTCCTGGAGCAGGCCCGTCCCTGCCACGGATCGGCACGCCGCGGCCCCGTGCTGCCCTCGAGCGCCCTTGCGGGTGGACCAGGGCAGCGGTTCCCTGCGCCCCCCAGTGTGGGCCTCCCGAGCTCGTCTTCGAGAAGCAAGCGAAGTGCGACTCGAGCGATCTCGTGCGACTCGAGCAGGAGCCCAGATTCGATGTAGTTCTCAGCTGTGCGGTTTTGGCTCAGCGATGCGGCCCACGGGTCGAACCTGGCGAGTTGAACAGGGAAACCTCGAAGCCAGGAGTGCGGCAGTCGAGGGGCCACGAGCGGTGCAGACGCAGACTCTCAGAGGTCCGGCCGGGGTCCTCGGCACGGTGCGGCCCCGTGCTGCGCCCGCCTTCGCGGGCGGATCCGACCGGGGAAGTGCGGCGGTCGAGGGAAAGCGGGCGGCATGGAGACGCAGACTTGCGGAGGTCCGCGCGGGCTCTCGGCACGGCTCGGCCCCGTGCTGCACTCGGGAGCCCTCGCGGACGTTCTGTTCACGCGGGGCGTTTTTCACGCTGGGCGGTTTTCGCCCGCGCAGGTCGGCGTGGTTCGGTTGGGGTCTGGCGTCTGGGGTCTCACGGTGTTGTAGTTTTTCGCGTCGCAGCTCCGGGAAGCGGGGATCGGCGGCGAGCGAGGGGGGGCAGGGAGAAGGGGCAGGCCTTCTCAGGAGGCGTGGAAGTCCCCCAGCCTTCCGAGAAGCTTTCTGGGCCTTCCCGAAGACGCAGACAGCTTTCCAGACGGCGGGAGGGCTTCTGAGAGGTCCCGCCGCATTCTGAGCAGGTCTTCTCCCTCTCACTTTCCCCCCTCGCTCGCCGCCAAAGGGAAAACGTGCGACACATTTTTGGAGGCCCGCGCGAGTTTCTCGTGTCGGCGCTGGGCTCCTCCTGGCGCGCTCCATGCGCCCGGGGAGGGGCGTCCAGCGTCGCCCCCAGAAGACCGCGCGGACCTCCGACAGTTTATGATTACTCGAGGTTCGCGTCGTGTCGACCCGCGGCGACCCCGCCGCCCGCGTTCAATGTTGAACGCCGCCGGCGACCCAGAATCGTTCGATGTTGAACGATCGTTTCGGAAAAGGCCAATCGTTCGAGGTTGAACGATCCCCGCGGTGTCAGGAACTAACGCCTGGGTCGTCACGACACGAACCTTCCTTTGCATTTTTGGTTCCCCTGGTTGTGCACGCAATGGTCACACATGGCGCGCTACGCGCACGTACTGAAAGTTTCGCCGCGGTCCCCTCGTGCACGCTCTGCCACCCTTTCCTCTCCCGTCTCCTCCTCCTCCCGCCCTCCCCTCGTCCCTTTCCTTGCTGCCCTCCCTCGTCCCTTCTCTCCCCCCTCGACGTCCCCCCCTCGTGCTCCCCTCTTTCCTCGACGTCCCCCCTCGTGCTCCAATCTCTCCCCCCTCGACGTCCCCCCCTCGTCCTCTCTTCCCCTCATTCTCTCGACGGCTCGTTATTCGGAGGTATCGGGGCGTTTCTAGAGGTTGTCGTCGCCAAGGCTGCCCGCGGTCGAGCATGCGGCCAGGATGGGCCTCCAAAGGGATCCGCGGGGCGGTTTCTTGAGAGGTTTTTTGGTGGCAAGGGGCCCGAGGAGGCTCTGGGGAGGCGTGCCATGATGATAATAATGATGCCGCTGCTGCTGCTGCTGCTGCTGCTGCTGCTGATGATGATGATGATGATGATGATCATCATGCTGATGCTGCTGCTGATGATGGTGGTGGTGGCGATGATGATGATGATGATGATGATGATGATGATGGTGGTGGTGGTGATGATGATCATCATGCTGATGCTGCTGCTGATGACGATGATGATGATGATGATGATGATGATGATGATGATGATGATGATGGTCGTGGTGGTGGCGATGACGATGATGATAATGATGATGATGATGATGCTGATCATGATGATCACGATGATGATGCTGATGATGATGACGATGATCACGACGATGATGATGCTGATGATGCTCACGATGTTAATGATGATGGTGATGGTGATGGTGGTGATGATGATGATGACGATGACGATGATGATGATGATGATGATGATGATGATGATGATGATGATGATGATGATGATGATGATGATGATGCTGCTGCTGCTGATGATGATGATGATGATGATGATGATGATGACGATGACGATGGCATTGATGATGATGATGATGATGATGATGATGATGATGATGATGATGATGATGATGATGATGATGATGATGATGATGATGGTGGTGGTGGTGGTGGTGGTGGTGGTTGTGGTGATACTGATGGTGGTCGCGGTGAGATGGTGGGCACGGTGACGTTCTCATGAAGCAAAAATGCAGCACACGCTCCAGAGGCTCGGCCACATTCGGAAATGTTACCTTGGACAGTGGTTGACAGAACTGCGCCAAGTGGAACAGCTTTGTCGATCCAGTGTATGATGTATAAACTCGAATGTTGGATAACCCTGGGGGAGCGCCTGCATGGGCTGAGCTTGGGTGCGGGCTTGAGGCTTCTGGAGGTCCACCTCTTTCACAGCAGGTAGCACCAACTTCCTCCTCTCCGCCTCCCCTTCTCCCTTCCTCCCTTCCTTCCCTCCTCCCGTTGACCTCCCTGTTTCTCTTCCATTTTCCCTGCCCTCTCCTCCGCCCATCCCCTCCCTGCTTTCCCTCCGGTTCCCCCCTCCAGCCTCATGTTTACCTCCAACCCCACCTGCCGTTCAGTCGAATGCAGTCCGGTTTCATCCAGCCCGATCGAAGCGAATCCAAGCGAGCCCAGTCCGATCTAAGTGCCTCGGATCGAATCCAGCCTCCTCCCTCCGCGGGTGTCAAGACAGGTCCACTCTGGCCGCGACCTTGCCCGACTGGTCTCCCCTGAGATCCGGCGTCTCGAACAATTGCAAAGTCCCACAACATCGCAACCAGAGCCCTCGACCCCGCCTTCGGCGGCAGTTCTTGAGCCAGATCGAGGCGCGAGGGTCCTGGACCCCGAGACCAGGACTAAAATGCCTCGCACGGATTTCAGGGTGATGCAGGCCCGAACGACGGTCCGCGCTGGTGGTCTTCTTCTCCAACTCCTCCGAGGTCGCATTTTGTTTGTGTCATGGGCCTCCCAGGGGTTCTCGACCCCCCCCATGGGGCCGGCTTGCCATCCCGAGCCACTGCATGACGGCCAGGGAACACGACGCGACCTTCAGACGCACAAAACGCCCCCAAACTGCCCGCCGCAATTTTCGTTGCGTCGCCTGGATCTGCGGGTTCTGGTGTTTCCTTCTCGCCTGCCGCCTTCCAGGGGCCCATTTCGATCCGACAGATCCGTCGCGATGCTGACTGATGCTGCCTCCCTCGCGGGGGGCCAGCCCCGGGCGGGCCAGGGCCACGGCCCTGCTCGGGGGCCGCACGGATCTGGCGGCGCGAGTCTCTCTCGAGACGCTCTCTGTCCACGGCCACCCCCCCATGGGGGCTTTGTGCAGAGGGCCCCCCGTCAGACAGGGCCAGCCCTACAGAGGACCCATACACGCAACGTCTTGAAATGACCCGAGACGGTTTCGACCCCTTCTCCACGCGGGGCGAAGCTTTGCATGAACTCTTCCTGCAAACGAACGCATCGCCAGATCTGCACGATCAGCGCTGCCCTCATCTCCGCCGTGCCACCCAGGAGCCCACAGAAGTGGCGACAGTAGCGCAGTTCTTAGCTTCCCAGGGAGCCGCGAGGTCTCGGCTGGGTCCGCGTGGCCCCCGACTCGGCTGGACCGCCCAGGAGCCCACGAAAGTGGTGACAGTTGCGCAGTTCGCAGCATCGCAGGGAGCAGCAAAGTCTCAAATCGGTGCGCGTGGCCCCCGACCCCGCTGGACCTCCCAGGAGCCCATGAAAGCGGTGAAAGTTGCGCAGTTAACAGCGTCCCAAGGAGCAGCGCGGTACCAATCCGCGAGGTCACCGACCCCGCTGGACTTTTCAGGAGCCCGCGACAGTGACGACGGTCGCGCAGTTCGCAGCCACCAGCCTGGAGGTTGTGCTTGAGTGTGCGTGGACCTCCACTCGGCTAAACCTCCCAGGGGCCCACCAAAGTGGCGACAATTGCGCAGTTCGCAGCCACCCAGGAAGCTGCGAGGTCTCGGCTGGGTGCGCGTGTTCTCCTACTCCGCCGTGCTTCGCAGGAGCCCACGAAAGTGGCGACAGTTGCGAAGCTCGCATCGACCCAGGGAGCTGCGAGGTCTCGGCAGGGTGTGCGCACTCCCCCACTCCGCCGTGCCTCCCAGGAGCCCATGAATGTGGCGGCAGTTGCGCACTTCGCAGTCCCCCAGGTGGCTAAGAGGTCTCGGCTGGGTGCGCGTACTCCCCTACCCCGCCATGCCTCCCAGGAGCGCAAGAATGAGGCGACAGTAGCGCAGAACGTAGCTTCCCAGGGAGCCGCGAGGTCTCGGCTGGATCATGTTGCCCCAGCTCCGCTGAACCTCATAGGAGCCTGCGAAAGTGGTGAGAGTTGCGCAGTTCGCAGCATCCCAGGAGGCAGCGAGGTCTTAATTCTTTACGCTTCGCGTATCCCCACCAGCCCATCTCACAACAGCAACTCTTGCGAAGCATGCCGACAGTCGTGTTTTTCAGGCGTGTGTCCGCTTGGCCCCGCATATCTCCCCTGTTACTCCTTCCTCCCGCCTCCTTGTACATCCTCCTTGTGGGGGGAGCGGGAGAAGGACGAGGCGGAGGAGGAGGGAGAGAAAGCGCTCCTCGTGGTTTGAGTCGTTTGGGGTTTCTCGTCCTGGTGTGAGTCGTTCGGGCCCTTCTTCCTGGTGTGAGTCGTTCGGGCTCTTCGTGGTGTGAGTCGTTCGGGCTCTTCGTCCTGGTGTGAGTCGTTCGGGCTCCTCGTGGGGCCTCTTGGGGGCCTCTTGGAGGCTCTTGGGGCCTCTTGGGGGCCTCTTGGGGGCCTCTTGGGGGCCTCTTGGGGGCCTCTTGGGGCCTCTTAGGGCCTCTCGGGGGCCTCTTGGGGGCCTCTTGGGGGCCTCT